CACATCAGATTTCTTTACCCAAACTTTTCTCGAGGTTGAGGTGATCCTAGTCAACCTCATTACCATCTCAGTTAAGTGGCTAACCTGATTTGAAAAGAAGTTTACTTGACTAGGGATATCCTGACTTCGATTCCTATTTGCTGGCTTTCGACACCTAGGTCTCATGTGGCCTAAGGCACCACAGTGATGACAAATGGGTATGAACCTAGGTTCAAATGCACGTGAGTGTTGATCATAAAAATTAGGTGTAGAAATCTTATGAGCTCTAGTGGCCTTCAGTCCAGTGAAATTTTTTTCTTTGGATTCTGGATTTGTTGAAACATTAGATCTGTTGGAAGAGGGGACAAATGTGGTCTTGGATAAACTAGACACATTGCTATCACTCTTCACAAATCCTAGACCTTGCCTATTTCCGGCTAGTTTGTTCATCCCTAACAGATCGTCTAGTTTCTTAGTTCCACTCACAAATGACTGTAGTTGAGTGCTGGATTTCTCTAATTCACAAGTCAATGTCTTAACGCTCTCCTCTAATTTCTCATTGACATACTTCAACTCACTGAGATTCTTAGATGAGACTTGAAGATCATAGGTGATTTTCTCCTTCTCTCTCTCAAGCTCGTCTACCTTCTTAAATAGGGCTTTATTTACCTTTTTGATCTTGAGACTTTCCTTAAACAGAAGTTGATAAGCCTCACGTATATCCGTCTCATCCTTCGAATCATCACCGGACTTGTTACTCTCCACTTCCTCCTCAACCTTCTCACTCTCCTTGTTTGACTCGCTCTTGACAGTAGATACAAAAGCCATATAGCCCTTTACCTCCTCACTACTTGAGGAATCACTTTGTTCACTTAAATTAGAGTCATCATCAGTCAAGGACACAGCTGATGCCTTGCTACTCCCCTTCTTCAGATTTTTCTTAAAGCTAGGACATTCATTTCTAGTGCCCAAATCCCTGACACTCATGACACCTAACCACTTGAGATTTCTTACCAAGGTTCCTAGCAGTTAATTTATCATCCTTCTCTCTTTGCAATTTACTAGGGACTCCTCTCCTTTTCTCTTGAGGCCATTTTTTGTCCTTTAAGACTTTCTGAATTTTTTCACAAAGTAGGCAATCTCCTCATCTCTAAGAGTTTCCACGTCAGATGACTCAAACTTCCATTCCCTAACAGTGTTCAGGGCTATAGACTTGTTTTTCTTCGGTTGTGAAATGGTGAGTTCATAGGTTTGAAGGGATCTTACGAGTTCTTCTATCTTAATTGTATCCAGATCCTTGCTTTCTTCAATAGCTGTAACTTTAGGTCTAGATCTCTCGGGTAAGGATCTAAGAACCTTCCTCACAATTTTGGGCTTGAGAATCCTCTCACCTAGGTTGAAACTAGAGTTAACAATGTCATTCAATTTGGCATAGAACTCATCATCATCCTTCATCCTAATTTCTTCAACCTTGAGGCCAATATTTGCAACTTAGAATTTTTCACAGTTTTAGTTCCTTCATGCATTGTCTCAAGAATGTCCAATACATCTTTAGCAGTGTTGGATTTGACACTCTTCTAAACTCTTCAGGAGACACCGACATAAATAATGCATGGAGACCTTTACTGTTCCAGCTGCATTCAGCAAATTCATCCTTAGTCTAAAGGGAAATGTCAGTTGGGGTTACAACACATGACACAGTTGTGGAAGGAGGTTTCCAACCATTTTGTACACTCACCTAGACACGTTCATCTAGGGACTTAAGAAACACACGCATTCTAACCTTCCAATAGGCATAGCTGCTTCCGTCAAAATACGGAGGCACAGACAATGATTGACTCATCTAGACAATTATGGGTCAGAACTCGAGATTTGGCTCTGATACCACCTGAAATATCGTAGTTCGATCCAATCAACACCTAGAGGGGGTGAATAGGTGTTTATGCAGAATTATCCTTTTCAATCAATTAATAATTGCAACACGTCACAAATATTAATTTGTCCAGATCAGTTCACATGCTTTACTATCCTATGTTTATATACCGGTCATAAATTAATTATAGAAAGATAAATAACACAATTGTTTGATGATGGCGAAACCCCAATATGGGTAAAACTCTAGGCCCAAGCCAGGAATCCACTATAAACGCAAATGAACCTTACAATCAGCCAAACTCAACCTACACTGGTTTTTCTGACATCCTGACCATAGTTTCCTCAAAGCCTTCCTGGAATGCGTGATCCTGCACCAACTCCTGGCACCTAGCCCTTCTGAATTAAGTGCTACACCAATTCTCGGCTCTTGATTTTGTCTATCTCGTGTGGATTCAAGAGAACCACCTGTTCTCTAATGATCGTAACTCCAATCTCCTTCCTCGATCTCCAAGAATCAACAAAGGCTCTAGAAGGTTGTGTTGTGGTGTTTGATGAATGTTGATTTGATATTTTTTATGTAATTGGTCAAATCAAATATGGGGTTGAATGAGAAAATCAAAGTGTAGGAGAGTTTTCTTCAATTTCAATCCCTTGAGAGCACAACTAAAAATCGGCACAATATTTCTTATATGCCGTGTATTTTGATATTTTAGTTGGGTTGAAATATCGAAAAAAGGAAAATAAGATTTTATGGATAAAACTATCGCTCGGGCGAAAAGCGAGCAATAAGCGAACGAAAAGCGAGCAATAAGCGAGCAACGCTGTTTCGCTCGAGCGAAATGGGGGCGAGAAGCAAGCGACAACCATTCTGTTTTTGTTGAGCGACCACTTGGCGAGCAGCTAGCAAAACTTCAATGACACATCCAGCCCTACTTCATAGCTTGAACCCTAGCACACTTTGTCAAAATTGCAACTGGGTCCCTCATCTTTTACACATGTACACAATAACCCCTAACCTTTAACAATTAACAAATTGACCCCAAACCTTTGAACATTTACAATTTTACCCTTTTGTTCACAAAATAGCCAACACCAAATCTAACAAATCACGTTATATAAAATGTGTGGTAGCCATCGCCATAGCACGATATTCAACTTCAGCAGATGAACGGGAGACAACTTTTTGTTTCTTTGTACACTAGGAAATGGGACTAATGCTAAGAGTAATGGAAAGCCTAGTCGTGGAATGACAAGTGATAGGACAACTAGTCCAATCAAAATCAGAATACGTAGAGAGACAAAGATCACACTGAGTGGGATAAAAGAATCCATGTCATGGAGATCCCATCAGGTAACGTAGAACATGAAGTGTAGCCTGGTGATATAAATTCCGAATATTTTGCATGAATTGGCTTAACATATAAATGGATAAAGAGATGTCTGGGCAAGTAATAGTGAGATACAAGAGGCGACCCTCTAACCTTCTATATGAATTGGGATCAGAAATTAGAGTGTCATCATCAGGGTAAGCTTCAAATTCTGATCCATGGAAAAGCTGGCGGGTTGTGAACTCAAATTACTAGAGTTGGCAAGTATATCGAGAGTATACTTGTGCTGATTGATAAAAATTCCAAGGGATGACCGGGCAATTTCAAGGCCAAGAAAATAATTCATGGTTACTAAATCTTTGATTTTGAACTTCTCATCAAGTGATATTTTGAGGATAGTGATTGCAGAGAGGTCATCTCCGGCAACTAAGATGTCATCAACATAAACTAAAACAGCAGTAAAAGACGAGCCAATAGTCCAAGTAAAAAGAGAGTGATTAGTTGTAAATTCATAGAGAACAATGCAGAGGACAATTTCGAGTACCAATTACGCAAAGCCTTCTTAAAACCATAGAGAGATTTGAGTAGATGACAAACATGAGTCCCTCCTGGAGAAACTATCATGTAGACCTGCTCATCTAAATCTCCATGGAGAAAGGCATTATTGACATCAAGATGATGAAGGTGCCAATAATGGGTTGTTGCAATTGCCAAAACACAACGGATAGTGACAAGTTTGGCTATAGGAACAAAGATGTCATGATAATCAAGGCCCTCAACTTGAGTATAACCATTGGCCATCAGTCGAGCATGCCACTCAATGGAACCATTTGCATGGAGTTTGGTTTTGAAGATCCACTTACAGCCGATGAGTTTCTTATTTGGAGAAAGAGTTGTAAGAAGCCAAGTATTAATAGATTTGAGTGCTCGAATCTCAGCTTGCATAGTATTGTGCTAGTGGGAATGCCGGATAGCTTGAGAGTATTGAGTAGGGTCAGAGGATTGTCATAAGGTAGATAGAAAGCAAAGTAATTAGCAGAAAAATTATGATATGATATAGAATGGGAAAGGGGTAAAGGTAAGGTAGGACAAAATTAGTCAACAATTTGTTCTTGTCATTCAGTGCTCAAGTGATTGCTCAATGCCAAGCTAGATAATTGTCGCCATTGAGAGGTGTATCAACAAGGAACTGGTTTGGTTGGTCAGATGAGTGCAAGAAGTATGGGGATGACGCATTCGTGAGAGACTTGTTGGCATCCAAGATAGGGGATTTGGCCATGGCAAAAGCAAAGAGATGGAATTTCAAAACCTAATGCCCTTATACCATGTTAAGTTTTGTATAGAATGAAGTAATTTCATTAATTGAGTTTGCAATACATTGGTGTATATAAGCATATAGAATTCGCAATGTAAAGAAACAAGACTAATCTAGGACCAAATATTTAACAAAGGAAATAATATTTAACAAAGGAAATAATCCCTGTGATCCCTATAATCATGGTTAGTAATAATATTGAGTAATAGTTATGTATGTGTGGTTAAAATTAATGTTTATTTTGACTAAATTCATAAAACGCTCATAAATTGCTTGCTAAACAGGGGCTTAATAGGTTATTACTCCCTGGAAAAGATTGAATGATCCTTCCATTGTAGCTATTCTCACAACACAACCATATGAATTTAATCAACTTAGTGTTCAAACCAATTTCATGATCAAATTTGATTACTCGGGAATGGAGGTATGTGCTTTGACTGTTCATACTACAGATGCATACATGACTGTAAAGCCTTAGGAGAGGACTTGAACCTAGGACGTGATTGCTAATAAAAATAGATCCTCCAACTACTTAAATAGAAAATTAACGTTTATAATGAATAGAAATACAATTTAGCATTCCGGTTGAAGAATAACGATAAAAGCAATATCGGAAAAACAAATTTAACTTGTTAACTTATCGTGCTTCCATTTGTGTAACGGTTACTTGGTTTATTGAGCTGGGTGCATTTGTGCTACTTGAACTTTCACCAGCAAACAAATCTCTTTCTGTGAAAAAACCAGGTTGCTTTGCTTGAGGCAACTCAACTTCATTTTCAAGCATAAACACTATCGAAGACATGCTTGGCCTATGTTCTGGACATTGTTGAACACACAACAGTCCTACATGGATAAATCTCAGCACTTCTGATGAATAACCTGAAACGCCAAGGTAATCATCGACGAATTCCAGTGACCTTCCTTCTTTATACAACATCCATGCCTGTACTAATTGAACTCATGTAAAAGACCACCTTTTTGAATCCAAGTGCCATAAGGAATAATTTCATTACAATGTGAGTATACAATTCTTACATGTCCAAGAAGGCTATGGTGGTGATCTCTATGAGAAAATCCTCTGTTTCTTTTGCCGCTTACAATCTCAAGCACCAAAACGCCAAAGCTAAATACATCTGATTTTATTGAAAACATGCCATCTATAGCATATTCTGGGGACATGTAGCCACTACATGATCAAATTTATCGGGCACCAATGTTATAAACAATAGAATAGCATTTCATAAATTATGGGATTGAGATTCTTACTATGTTCCAACTACTCGGCTCGTATTAGCTCCAGTCTCGTTTCCTTGAAAACTTCTAGCCATTCCGAAGTCTGATATCTTCGGGTTCATGTTAGAATCTAGTAAAATGTTGCTAGCTTTGAGGTCTCTATGGATGATTCTGAGACGGGAATCTTGATGGAGATACACAAGTCCCCGAGCAATACCATTTATAATGTGAAAGCGCTTAGGCCAATCAAGTACTGCACTTCGCATTGGATCTGCCAAAAGTTCGACTCTTCTTGTGAGGATAATTTGTTGGGTAATTGGAAATGAAAAATCAAATCCAACATCTATAAGAACATAACTTCAAACAAAAAGGAGCATGAAACTTCACATGTTGCAAAAGAACAATGTTTTGTACCCTATATCAGAATTGATTAGAAATTTTATTCTTCAGGACTTGGAAAATGTGTTTGAAACTTCTCTATGTCATTAAGTGTAACTTGCACTTAATGATAGGACTTGCTATTGAGATAATTGTGCAAAGTGAATATTTCTTACCGAATATAATCAAGTCGAGACTTCTATTGGGCAGGAATTCATAAATCAACATCTTTTCTTCTCTTTGAATGCAATACCCTAGAAGTTTCACAAGATTTCGATGTTGCAATTTAGCTATACAGATAACTTCATTCTTGAACTCATCCAGTCCTTGAAGGGAATTTCTAGATAGCCTTTTGACAGCAATTTCCTGCCCCTCCTCCAGTACGCCCTATATCAGAAATTATACATTTTAAAGGTATTTGATTTGCAAAATGGCAATTTGCATATCATCTTCCGCTCACTTTTTACATCTAGTGTGATGTTAATATATTTTTGTATAAAAGGACTTAATTTCACATTCAAAAGAAGAGTAAATTTCCAAATGATTATACGAACAACATATTTGATACTGTTGTTTATTGATCATCCATAAATTTGGGACAGAGGATAAATATCTGAGAGCATATATCACTAGTGTGATGCCTCCCCTGTTAAACTAAAACTGAAAAATGAAAAAAAAAAAATTATTATATATTACCTTGTAAACAGGTCCAAACCCACCCTCTCCAAGCTTGTTATGAATTGAAAAATTATCTGTAGCTTTAATTATTGTATATAAATCAAACAGCGGCAGTTCTATGTCTTCGTTTTGACTTTCCTCATTTTTACGGTCCATAAAGTTGTCTTCCAGCCTCCCTGAAACAAAGTGATTTCAATTAGTTGAGTGTGGATAAGCTTGGTTTCTCCTATTGCCTGTAGCTGAAAATGGTAGATTTTTCTTACTACCTGTTCTGAGCCTGTGATTTCTTATCTTCCTTCTTCGAAGATACAGCATCAGACTGAGCCCAAAGAGAACCATTCCTATGGACAACGACAAAGCTACTTCAAGAACTTTTCTTTTTTTCCCTTCTGAATCTGCAAAAATTTATATCCAAAAAAAATGAGTTCTTTTTCAATGATATAGAACCTCGAAATTGAGAAGTATACAGATCATCTATAAAGGAAAATAAGACAAGATTAAATATTTGGGATTTATATATTACATATTGTTACCTAATTCAGATGAAGCCATTCTGATGTATATATCTTCACCTTCTTCAGATAGTTGTTTGATGTTAATTAGGTCTTTAAACCAAAGTAGGCATCCACTTCTCCCTCTGCTTATATCCAAGTAAGTATATGCTGTACAAGAGCAATTTTTTAAGCATTCTACCTTGCATTCTTTGAGTGTCATATTCTTGTTAAACCAAGAATATTGCGTATCTGGCAATTTAATACCAGAGTACTTGAGAAATACATCTCCGTTTTGACAATTCAAGGGAGTTCTACGAACACACCTGTTCGACCAATCTCCGTTGGACCATCCATCTGGATCTTTAGGCAAAAATTTATCGAAACATCCACAAACCGGAGAATTCGCAATATTGCAACTACCATATGCACCACACAATCCATAAATATCACAATTATCTGTGGGTGCAGTAATGCATACCACCCACCCCTGTGTTCGATTGATCCAAGTCGAGCGCTGTCCAACACCACTTGCCGTCAATGTAAACTTTGAAATAACTGATCTGTTCAGAAGCTCAAAAGAATAGTAGGCCTCGTTTTTATTCAGAACTACTCCGTATTTGAAAATAGGATTTTTCCTCAAGTTTGGATTCCCACAATAGCGGAGTCCATTCCAAGGTCCAGATTTATACTGCACAACAGAACCTTTTTTCACCACATGTTGAGGATAGCCAGTTGGATCAAAGTTATATGTAAAATCTCCCTTAGATGGATCATCATTGCTCTTCCATGATGATAGATACACTTCATGACCAGTTCTGAAATTCCAACCAAGCTTCATTCCTGAGAACATTGTGTCAGTCGGATAATTAAAACTCTCCCAGAGGAAGTTCTCGGTGTCATCATCATTTGTTTCTTTCACGACAAGGTTTCCTGAGTCCAGCAATTTTGCAGCCGGAGCTTTCACAGGTCGTGATGTGTTAGAAGACCATATGATGACACCATTATTGTCGTTTTGCAGAACAAGAAGTCCTGGTACGACAACCTTCAACAGTCCTGATCTGTTGGTAAGTGGAACTTCTCTGTTGGCAACCCATACCACCGTCATAACTGTTATCTTCTTGTACCACATGCCCACATATCGATTGTTGGAATTTCCCAGGCTAAAAAATCCCAATTCAAAGGTTCCATCCGACGAAACTATGGTCTCACCATCTCTAAGGATCTGTGAAGTAGTTATGGTATCCCCTGCATTGGAAATCTTTGGGACTAACATTAACAAGGTTAAAATAAAAATTAAGGGGAAATCTTTATTCAATAGCTTCATGGTTCTAGTTCTGCCTATGTTTGTCTGCTCTTCTTGCTTAATAGAATTGATATGCAGGCAGTTAACAGCAGCATTATTTCATATCGACTGAATGGATCAATGCTTATGAGGTTTGAGATATTGCGGGTTCAAAAAAGTCATCCAATTGGCAATCTGAAGCAGTATAAGGTCAAGAATATGCTTCAAAATTCTAGGCATGATTAGATTTGAAGGAGATTTTTCTTACATCTAGGGATAGAAACGTTTACTAGTCTTCGATATATGGATTATTCTCCTTTGCTGTTTCCTTTACTATTGACTTTGAATAATCAGGTCTTGCTCTTTATGCTTGCAGAGTCAACTTACCTTACATGAAAATATGAACTATACTCTTTGTGATGCCGTGTTATTAATCCTTTTAATTACCATGTCCATCTTAAGTAGTTGCATTAATATTATATTTACTTTTAATCATCACAATTAGCTCCATCTTGACTAACCATGCTGTTGCAGTGGAATGTACCTTGGACGCGTTATATGATCGACGTGCCTAGTAGCTCTAAACTTTTTTAAAACAATGTAAATAATTCATTAAATTTACAATTCAATTTACCTTTGACACCTTGACAATTAACTTGTTTATTAATTTAATTATGATATTTTTATAATTTTACTAAGCTCAAATAATTATATAGTGTATATTTTGCTTATGGTTAGTTTTGTTTATAGATTGATTAGAAATCGAATTGGAAGATTTCTTTAGTTAAGAAAATTTTTATGTAAGTTAATTCAAAATAATAATTTGGATTTCTATAATGGAAATTTAGTAATCTAGTCAATCATCTTTATGGCTAAATAAGTCAATAGAGCAAGATTAGGCACCTAAGTACTTAGTTAACATATTGTATGCTTACTAAACGTAACTAAATTAGAAGTAATGAACCTTCCTATTTATACATTTCCTTGTAAATTAATATATATGCTCTTCATAATTCCAAAAGATTATATTTGGCGTCTCCTTCCTGTTTTGATTCTGCATCATTGGTTAAGGTATTAAGATTTTAATTTTCACTGCTATCATATGTGAGTTCAATTATAATTTCATGTCATCATTAGCCATTGCATTTCAATTGAAAAATATTCTACTTTATCATTTCAATACCCATTGTCCCACACGTGTATACACATGCATATAATTGTATTTTCACCAAAACAAAGTTTGAACGCGTAGACCAGTGAGGTCAAATTTTGGGTTGATTTGATTGGCCTTTCTTTTTGGTGTATGTATTTTGTTATATGAGAAATTCCTTTATTTGATTAGGTAAACTGTTAATATTAAACAAGAATTGTTTCGTGTCTCACGTCTTGTGTCTTGACTAAGAAATTGTAAGGATTCATATTTTGTGAACTTTGAAAAGCACAGAGGCATATGATGATCCCTCGATCTCGTTCTGTAATAAAAAGAGCTAAGTTGTTAACGTTTCCCTTCATAGGTAATTAAAAAAAGTAAAGGACGACTTTGTTGTATCCGGGGGCATAAATGATACAATTGAAAACCTAAGTAGTCTATCAAGTAAAGGTGAAGGACCACGATTCTAATTTTCCCAAAACTAAGAAATATTCCTTTATAGTTCGTAATCGCAGGTTCCGTCCCTCAATTCAGTCGAAATGCCCATATTTTCAAGACCCATCGTCACTCGATCACGCATCAAAAACAGACTCTTGGTCCCCTCCACCTTTCTCTCTCTCACCCTTCTCTTCTACCTCAACAACCGCGGCTCCGCTGAACTTTATCACCAAGTCTTGTGTCTCACGTTTTGTGTCTCTCCCAATTTTCATTCATATGGGGGATTGTTGGAAAAAATTGAGTAAGCAGCTCACTTTTGGCACAATTTTCGATGAGACCCATTGGTCCAATGTGGAATATCAAAGTTGATATGTGTTCTCCTCCGCGAGAACATCAATTTCATGTATTTATTTTCCAAAAATGAAGTTCGGGTGAATGAGAAATTGGAGCTCAAAGTTGGTCATTGAAAGTTGGTTTCATAGGAAAAAATTCATTTATCCCCATAGAAAAACCAAGGAAACTTAAACCACTTTATAAATGGCTATGCTTTGGAGATGTGTAATCATGTGTAGTATAGAGACTTTCTCCATGTGCGTGCGCAGGAGGTGTGCAAATCACGAACCGAAATGACTTTCGGACCTTGAACTTGAGTGCGAGCGCGACCTGCGCACACGAATGTCGGACCAAACAAGGCAAAAATGGCCCCATCGGAGATCCCATGTTTTGCCAATTTTTTTTGGCTTTCTCCAATGACTTTTGAGTTTTTAAACTGTATGGTACATCAATTCAGATACTGGGCTCATCAGGCCTTAATAAAATTATTAATGATTTCAAGAATGATGGAAAAGGAATGGAAATCAAACAAATAATTGACAAGTACAGATAATTGAGTGAAAAAACCATTTATTACTATAAGTGATTTGTTGCAATACATTTTTGCTAATCCTAGTGGATATAAGTTGAAAACAGAGGACAGTCCGATGAGTTTCAGAACGTTTGTGAATTTATTGGCAAAATGTGATTGCAGATGGGCTTCTAGGAGACTTGAGCATGTGCTAGTCGTAATTATAAAGCTCTTGAATGAGCAAAAAGCTAATAATCTTAATAGAAAATGTGGTATGTCCAGGCATGAGCTAAGGGAAGAGGCAAGAAAATCTATTGGGGACACAGGTTTAATTGATTTTGTGCTCAAATCTATCAAATCTTTTTGTAGTGAATAATCAAATTATTCGATGAACAATAAACCACTAACTCGATTAGTGGAATTTACAATTTATGATGCTGTTAAAGAAGCAGAAGGATTGAAGTGGCCAATTTCAAGAATGGATTCTGGTTGTAGATATTCAAGAAATAAATTGGAACAAGCAGCAAAAGTTGTGGTGAATATTTTGATACTTGGGAGATGATTCAATCCTCAACAAATGTCTTTGCTTGCTTTTAGTTGTTTTGTTTTGTATATAAAATGTTTATTGTTTTGTTTTGCAAATCTGATAAATCAAATGGCACGTTACTTATCTTTATTACATGTTTTAAATTTTAATTGTTTGATTTGGTGTAAGCAAGGCAGAAGAAGATTAAAGAAGGTGCCATTTGGACAATTGGCCCATCAATTTATCTAAGAAGGAATATTAATACAATGTGAAGCCTGCTTTGTTGAGGTGAAGATTTTAACTAAATTCTGAAGTGATGTATAATATCTATCTATCACGACAAGGCCACGGTCCAACTCTATACTGCTTAACTGTACCTTTTTTAGGGGGTGATTGATAGACATTTTTATGTAAAAATGCATTTTAAAATAGTAAATTGATATAAAATGTATTGTTCAGAAATAAGGAAAAGTTTATGATTTACGTATAATATTATTTTAATAAAGAATAAGTGGTTGAAAAGAAAAGAGAAAAAAATGCATTTTATAAAAAAAAAAAAAAAAAAGGTTACCAAACGGGGTCTTAATGATTAAAATTTGTGGATATCCATTAGGGTCCATCCAAAATTCGGAATCTTGCGAAGCTGAATCAGAGTTAATCTTCCATGATGAGAAATATGTCTCTCTACTAGTCACAAATTTCCAGCCAAACTTCGTATTAGGTGACTACATATCAGTTGGATAATCAAACTCTGCCGAAGGAAATTCTCCGGCCTTCTTCATTTGCGGCTTTCACAAGAAGATTCCCGAATTCAACAACTGAGAAACTAGAGTCTGACACTGACAGGACTTGATGCTTTAGTTGACCATATGATGTTATTAGTATTGTCAGAAAGTTCCAGAAGTCCTAACTCGATGACCTTCAACACGGCCGATGTATTTTTTTAGCGGAATTTTTCTGTTGACAGCCCAAATTACAGCGTTAATAGGTATCTTGTTGTACCAAATTGCTACATGTCGATTATTTGAGTTACCTGGGCTGGAAAATCCTAGTGTAAATATCCCCACCCTAGGAACGGCAATTCGGCTCGTCAGTTTGGACTGCCCGTGGCTTAGCTCGAAAAGAGTCCGAATCAGCTCGGGCCGAGCCCCATTTTGGGAGGACGGGCAGAGCCCAAGCATGACCCACAGGCCTTGGAAAAAAAAAAAAAAAAAAAAAAAACTGAAAGGCCCCATTCGGCTGCCTTAAAAGGCAATTTACTTATTAAAAAAAAAAAGTGAGCTTACTCAACTCGGCTCGAGCCTAATTTTTTTGGCCGAGTCTCGGGCCCCGAAAAAAGCTCGCACATTATACCCGAGCCACTTGTTGACATCCCTATCCCCACCCCAATGAAACTAGAGTATCACCGTCTCTGAGTATCCGAGTTGTATTTACGGCGTCAATTGCAGAGGAAATCTTAAGGATGGATACAGAGGATGATTGTAGAAGAAGAAAAGATGTATCTTTAATTGATTTTTTCTTGGTTCATCTCTATCTTTTGTCATGATTTTGTGTTACAAGGAAATTTCTCTTTTGTATGTCCACACTTGGAATTCTACTTTGGACACTTCAATCGCATATAGACGGATTACTTGACATGCCTGAGTTCTAGATTGTTCAAAATTTGGACATTCCAGGCCCAGTTGGAGCTGATATATGAAAAACTTTAATTGACTTGAATGTTTGACAGTGAGTTTAATCACTGAGATATATATATTTTTTAATTATATTATTAAAGAAAACCTAATTTTCAAAGAAAATGATGACAAGATTAAGATCATGGTATATGGAAGTTTTTGTATGAAAATAAAGATTATGGTGAGAAGGAAATTTTTTAATAGGTCCATTCAGTTTCAATTGAATAAGCTCATTGACTGATTGTTTTCCTGGGGATTTTTATTATATAATTAGCCTTCTGTTTGGTCCGATTCTTGAATTTTTGTTCTTTCCCATTTGATTTTATTACAATAAACTTAGACAAAATTTGTGAAGAGGATTACTTGCAGCATTGGGAACAAAATTGAGCCAAAAAAGGAATTTCAAGCAACCGCTTTTCAATTTTTTTTTATTTTTTTTTTTTTGGTGAAATCATTTATTCAAAATTTAAAATCGCCAGGATTTAATATGTGTTCTAAAAGTAGGATGGCAATGGGGAAATTTAGTTGGTAATTATTAAAATTAAGGAAATCCAAATAAAATAAATTTCTTAAATATTAAAAAAACTCCCAAAAACATTAAGCACATGTTTGAACCCATTTTCAATAATTTGTTTTTCTTCAACTCATTTTGCAACCGCATAT